CCTGATTGTGAGTAAACTGCCCACAGGAGCCATGAAGGAGGGGGTTAGGGAGGTTCCAGATTCAGCCCAGGCTACTAAATCCCTTTGTTTTTGTTTTGTTTTCCAGGCCCTGTGCCTGGACTCCCCTCCACTTCACCCGTCGACCCCATTCAAATACTGTTGGTTTGTACTCTCTAGAGAGGAACCTCCAGTCCTTTGTAGGGAGGAGGAGGGTGACCACCTTGCCTAATGCAGTATGGGGAGCAATGTAGACCATCTGCTGCTGCTTCTGAGCTTTCAGGCTATCTCTCTTATTCTCTCCCTCCACCCCAGTTTCAAAAGTGCCTAGTGCTGCCAGTTTCTACCACTTTGACAATACTCTGGTGTAAATCTGGTGTCCATCAATGTTTCCGGCTGCTAGTCTAAGTGACTACCAGTCTGTCTCCTCATCCCAGCTGCCAATATTTCTTTTCTTCTCCACACTGTGCATTCTAGGATTATTATGTCTTTTGATTTTTAAATTTCTTTCTGAAGTTCTAGTGGGGTTTTGGGTAGAAATTAGATACTTGTAATTAATCCATCATGTTAATCTGGAAATGAATACTGTATGTTCATTTGCTTAATAAGCATCTTTCCCACTAGAAGGTAGGTTTCCTGATGGCAAGATCTGTTTTGCCTATTTCACAACAGAATAACTTACTGACCTTGAATGAAGGACCTCAGTAGGAAATATGATTGTGTTAACCTTAAAAATGAAACTGCCAGGGGGCACATGCCTGGCTCACTTGGTAGCATATGTGATTCTTGGGCTCAGGGTTGTCAGTTCGAGCCCCTCATTGGGTGTGGAGATTACTTAAAAACAAAATCTTTAAACACACACACATACACTAAACCTGCCAGTTATTTATTTATTTATTTATTTATTTATTTATTTATTTATTTATTTTTAAAGATTTTATTTCTTTATTCATGAGAGACACAGAGAGAGAGAGAGGCAGAGAGGCAGAGACACAGGCAGAGGGAGAAGCAGGCTCCATGCAGGGAGCCCGATGTGGGACTCGATCCCGGACTCCAGGACCACACCCTGGGCTGAAGGCAGGCACTAAACCGCTGAGCTATCCAGGGATCCCCCTATTTATTTATTTTTTATTTTTTAAAGATTTTATTTATTCATGAGACACACACACACACACACACAGAGGGATGCAGAGACGCAGGCAGAGGGAGAAGCAGGTTCCATGCAGGGAGCCCGACGTGGGACTCGATCCCAGGTCTTCAGGATCATGCCCTGGGCCGAAGGCAGGCGCCAAACCGCTGAGCCATCCAGGGATCCCCTCTGCCAGTTATTTTATCAGTAAAAATGGATATATTTGGGAATAGCAGAGAATTGCAATTGAGGACACATAGGCTACAGCAATACAGGGAGTCCAATTAACAAAGGAGAGAAACATTATTTTATGGAGAAGAAAGGAAGTTGGGAGGGATTCTTTTGAATAAAAATCCATTGGGAAGGGGCAGCCCAGGTGGCTCAGCAGTTTAGCGCCAGCTTTGGCCCTCGGTTGTGATCCTGGAGATCCAGGATCAAGTCCCACGTCAGGTTCCCTGCATGGAGCCTGCTTCTCCCTCTACCTGTGTCTCTGCCTCTCTCTCTCTCTCTCTCTCTCGCTCTGTGTCTCTCATGAATAAATAAAATTAAATTAAAATAAAATAAAATAAAAAGAGGATCCCTGGGTGGCTCAGTGGTTTAGTGCCTGCCTTTGGCCCAGGGCATGATCCTGGAGTCCGGGGATCGAGTCCCACGTTGGGCTCCCTGCATGGAGCCTACTTCTCCCTCTGCCTGTGTCTCTGCCCCTCTCTCTTTCTCTCTGTGTGTGTCTCTCATGAATAAATAAATAAAATCTTAAAAAAAAAGTCCATTGGGGAGAAGTAAGAATTCAGGGTGATGATGGTTTTCCATCGGCTGAATAGAAGGGGCAGTTGACTTCTTATAGGAGATGCGATGGATACCTTTCCCTGTTGGGCCTTGTAACGACTGATTCTTTTCTGTTGAGATTTTTCTGTTAGGTGTCTGTAATTGACAATCATTGATATTGAGTGATAGGGTTCTCTCTACCAGCCTCCCCTTCTAGCATCTTGGGTTCATTTTAGAGAGGTTTCCTTTATTAATTTTCATAATTGCATATCCTGGCCACCTGAGAAATAACCGTGTAGCACATTTAGAAACACACAAACACACATGGTCTAATATTTGCTTAGTTTTAACTTTTTTTTTTGGCCCATTTGTTGTCATGAAGGACATTATAAATAGACAATGCCAAACTTGGAGAAGTTTTATTCTTTATTTTATTTTAATTTTATTTATTTATTCATGATAGACATAGAGAGAGAGAGAGAGAGAGAGAGAGAGAGGCAGAGACACAGGCAGAAGGAGAAACAGGCCCCATGCAGGGAGCCTGACGCGGGACTCGATCCTGGGACTCCAGGATCGTGCCCTGGGCCAAAGGCAGGCGCTAAACCACTGAGCCACCCAGGGGTCCCCTTGGAGAAGTTTTAAATTGAGTTGTAAACAACTCAGTTTTAAATCAGTTTTGTTTTTATTTATTATTATTTTTAAAAGGTTTTATTTATTTATTCATGAGAGACATAGAGAGAGAGGCAGAGACATAGGCAGAGGAAGAAGCAGGGTCCCTAAGGGAGCCTGATGGGGGACTCAATCCTAGGACACCAGGATCACAACCTGAGACAAAGGCAGGCACTCAACCACTGAGCCACCCAGGCATCCCTATTTTTTTTAAAATAGGCTTCATGCCCAATGTGGAGTTTGAACTCATGACCCTGAGATCAAGAGTCAAATGCTCTACCAACCAGCCAGGTGTCCCCAACTCAGTTTTGAATCAAAGTTTATTTTCATATATGAGTTGTACATTTTGTTACTATATAGTCACAAACTTCTTGGACAGTGGACTTTCATTTACCAATCTAGAGAAATAACGATCTGAACGTGGGTTGTGTTGTGTGTTGGCTCAAAAACCCTTGTCCTATCAGATAAAGTCCATGCTCAAAGCAACCTGAGATTACCTCTCTAGATTCTAGACCTGCAGCAGCTCAAAGGTGTAGCTCCCTCCAAGTCACATCTGAGGATGGCCCCAACTCCCTAACTCCCAAGACTTTGTTCTCCCTGTGGATAGATCTTTTCTTCTCATTCCATCAAGACGCACCAAAAATCCTACTCAGTGGCATGTTTCCATTCTCATTTGCTTGATGAAAGCCTTTTTAAATCAGGGTTTGTAGACTTCTTGCTCCCTGATTAGCACTATATTTGTACCCCACTCACAGCACTAAGAACAGTGAGCCTGGTATCCTGGCAACTATATCCTTATCTGGTTCATTTACTATCAGTCCATTACGCAACCAACAGCAGCACTCAAACGTTTGTTCAATTGAATTATTGACCGAAGGCCCCACCCTTTTATTTGCTCCTGGTCTAGAAACACAGAGGTAATTATACTGAGTGGTTTCATTTGTCCTAGATTTACTGGAAATTTTTAACAGCAAAGGGGACGATGTTGCTCTACTATCCTTGAAGTTTCAACTTCTCCTTAAGGAAGATCTTCATGAACAGAGCAAAAAGGAAATGTCCTTTGCTCTGGGAACATGTTTGTTTTGAAATAACAGCAAGAAAAAGATGCTTTAAAAACCAAACCAAACCAAACCCGTGTAGAAGTCTGATTTCAGAACACTGTTACAGTACTGAGCAACAGAGTGAATTTCAGGAAAAGAAGGCCTAGGAGATGGAAATGTCATTGGATATCAACTCCCCTGGAGAGTCTATTCTCAGAGCCGAGGGGAGCGTGAACCGGTTAGTTACTACCTTGCAGGAGGGCAATGCAACAATAAATACCAAAGCTTTAAAAACGCTCACTCCTGCTACCCCAGTAACTCCAGTTTGGGGCGTATAGTCTAAAGAAATCAAGTTGTGAATTTTTTGTCACAAACACGCTCAGCCCAGCATTGTTTCTCAAATAGGGACAACTCAGTTGCTCAATAACAGAGACATTGGGTGAGGGCCGCGAGCACAATGGGAGTGAACAGTAATCGGCCGTTGAAAATGTCCTAAGGGTTAGGTATTTTTCCAACTTTATTTTTTTAAATTTTTATTTATTTATGATAGTCACAGAGAGAGAGAGAGAGAGAGAGAGAGAGAGAGAGAGAGAGAGAGAGGCAGAGGGAGAAGCAGAGGGAGAAGCAGGCTCCATGCACCGGGAGCCCGATGTGGGATTCGATCCTGGGTCTCCAGGATCGCGCCCTGGGCCAAAGGCAGGCGCCAAACCGCTGCGCCACCCAGGGATCCCTCCAACTTTCTTTAAAACATATCTTTACACACATAAAGAACTAGCCAAGAGGGGCACCTGGCTGGCTCAGTTGGTGGAGCATGTGACTCCTGACCTCAGGGTTATGAGTCTAGGCCCCAGAGTGGACACGGGACCTACTTAAAAACAAAAAAACAACTCAGAGAAAAAAATACCAAAATATTGGCACTTTAATGGTCTGGTAACATCACCTCCAGAACTTGGTACAAGGCGTGGAACTAGTAAACGCTCAACGCACCGGAAACGGACAACGCATACATAAGGGAAGAAATTTCAACACATTTTTGGCTCAATGAACAGAAGTTATCTTTGGAAAATGGTAGAGCGTGTGGCATCTGCTTCCTTAGAAATTCAGGTTCTGAATTTTCTGGCAGAATCTTGTCCTCCCCTCAGAGTTCTCACAGAAGTCTAGACTCATGCCCTTCGCCAGGTGGCACAAACATGGCGGCCGGCCGGCCCCCGCGCCCCCGCCCCCGCGCCCCCCCTCTCACCACCCTATGGAGCCGAGCGGGCCCCAGCCGAGCGCGTCCGAGCGCTCCCGAACGTCCCCGAACCCGGCAGGAAGCCCGGGAGCCGCGCGGGCAGGAGCGGCCCCGCCCCGGAGCCTGGGAGCGGCGCGCCGGCGCGGGGGAGGGGACACCGGATGTGAGTGGAGCGGCCATTTCCTGTTTCTCCGCAGTTTTCCCCCAGCTTTGGGTGGTGGCCGCGGCTGGGCTCCGGCTTTCCGTCGGCGGAGGGCGAGGCGGTGTGGACAGCGGCCCCGGCACCCCGCGCCCTGCCGCCTGCAGCCGCGCGCCCGCCCGCGGCGCCCCGAGCCCGCCGCTTCTCGCGTCAGCGCCCGCCCGCCGCCGCCGCGGCCCAGCGAGCGGCCCAGATGCAGGCCATCAAGTGTGTGGTGGTGGGAGACGGGTGAGTGCGCGGGCCGGGGGCCGGGGGCCGGGGGGGTGGGGGGTGGGGGCCGGGGGGTGGGGCCTGGAGGCCGGGCCGGGCGGGCTCGCGCGGGCCCGGAGCTGGCCTCTCCGCGGGGCGCGGGCCACCACTCACTCCCTCCGGGACCGGGAGGCACGGGGCCTGGTTCCGGCTCTTTTTTTTTTTTTTTTTCCTTTTTCTTTTCCTTTTTTCTTTTTTTTTTTTTTTTTGTGATGGGGGAGGGAGTCGCTGAGCGGCGGCCGGAGGGAAAAGTGAACTCCACCCTCCCGCCTTCTGGGCCCGCTGCGCGCGGGGCGGGACCCCCAGCCGCGCCGCCACCCTCGCTCGTCCGCCCCTACAGCGGTGGGCTTGGAGTTGCCTTTCTTTCTCTAAGGGGGGGGGGCGGGGAAGGACCCTTCCTGGTTTTTACATCAGCCTCTGGAGCCCGGTTATGAGCTTCCGTGTGTCCCGGCGACCAGGTCGATAGTTCTTGAGTATTTGCCTGGGCTGGTTTGGCGACCCCAAACTGATTACCCGTATCTTCCGCTTGTACTTAGCCGCTTTTAAGATTTTTTCCCCCCCTTTGGTGATAATTCTTGTTCTTTCCTTGGAGAAACTTTTGGGATTCTAGCTACGAGAAGCTAGGTGTGATTAAGACTGATCTTTTCTCTGAATGTGGTGTGGTCATAAAAAAAAAAAAAAAAGAAAAGAAATTTGCTTTCGCTGCTTGCATTAGGTATGGGATGTAGCAGAACAGGCTCCCTGAGCGGAGCTGCCCTGTGACTCAAGGCATTTCTTTTCATTACTGTCTGTGGTGGTTACAAGGCCCTAGAGGAAGACAAGACTTGGCTTATGCAGTTTTTTTTTTTTCCCCTCCCATAGAAACAAAAATCTCAGTGTAATCCGAGCAAAATTGTGTATCTCAGCAGTGCTCGAGTTAGTTGAGTGTTAACAGCGAAGATCCAAGAATTACTATCAGTTTCATCAAACTCAGTGTAATTGGTACATTTTTCAAGTCTTGTAAAATCGAAGGAAGAGTTCTGGCATCGCTCTTCCTTTTGATTAATATTCCCCAAACTTGTCATTAGGACTGATGTGGCTTTTATGCCTACCAAGTTGTGAATTAGCTCATTTAGATTGTTGTAAATTAGACATTTTGAAACTGTTGCTACAACTAATTCAGATGCAAGGACAGTTGAACTGATTTTTTAAAAGATGCCCATCTGTGTGATTTGTCAGTCTTCAACGTGTGAAACCTTATTAACACTTCATGGTTCTGTGCATATAGCTAAAAATTATGACTCTCACCTATTTAGGAATATGTTTTTTTGTTTTTTTTTTTTAACCCTTGAAAAGAAAGCTTTTCTTTGATTTGGGGCCCAAAAACTTCAGTTAATTAGTTTAATAGGGAAATCAGTACATTGGTTTAAATGAAATTTGATCCTTTTGTGTAATGAATTAACTACACATATATCACATTGTCTTATGAACACTTTAACTGCATTTCCTTTAAAATTAAAAATGCTGGATCTGTAATGCTTAGAGTATGAAATAAGCCTGGTTTTTTAAAAAAATTGCTGATAATTCAGTATCTAACTTTAGAATGTAATATTCTTTTTTTTTTTTTTTAAGATTTTATTAATTTGACAGAGTACAAGCAGGGGGAGTGGCAGAGGGAGAGGGAAAGAGAGAGGCAGGCTCCATGCCAAGCAGGGAGCCGGATGCGCCACTTGAACCCAGGACCCTGGGATCACGACCTGAGAGGAAGGCAGACACTTACCTGACAGAGCCACCCAGGTGCCCTACAATGTAATATTCTTAATTGAACATTTCTGAAACTAAACATAAGCACAGCACACCTACTTAATGCTTACAGATGATGGACCCCTATGATTTGTATTGCCTTGTGTATCTAGTCACATACTTGTTGAGTGCCTGTTGTGGGATCTGGATCCTTACTTCGAATCCCCACTCCCAATGATTAGGGAGGAACCTGGGCATATCACACTCCTCTCCCAGGACAGGGACCTCAAGTTGAAGTGGCGAGGATTAAACAAGTTGCTGGGGGACGCCTGGGTGGCTCAGCGGTGCCTGCCCGGCTCCAGCTCCTGTCGAGATCCTGGGATCCGGGATCAGGCTCCCTGCAGAGAGCCTGCTTCTCCCTCTCCTTGTGTCTCTGCCTGTCTTTCTCAGTCTGTCTCATGAATGAATAAATACATAAATCTTAAAAAAAAAAATAAACAAGATGCTGGATACTAAGTGCCTCCCAGGTTCCTGGCCCCAGCTGAGAAAGTGCAGGCAGCCAGCCTCATATAGTGTTGCTCTTTCTCTTAATCTGAGGCACTGTTGGGCCCTGTGTGGGAGGTCCAAAGCATAAAACAATTCTTGGCTTTAAGTTTTCATTCGATTTTTTTGGTACTGTATTTGACATTGATGTAGACTGGGACTAAGCCCTGTTAGAAGTAAACAATTCAAGCTCTGTTTATTTATTTTTTAAAGATTTATTCATTTATTTAAGTAATCTCTATACTCAATGTGGGACTCAACCTCAGGACCTTGAGATCCAAGAGTTGCGCATTCCACCAAGTGAGCCAGCCAGTTGCCCCCTCTATTACTTTAAATAAGGGACAACATACAGCAAACATTACTTCAGTGAAAAAGTTACATACATGACTTTCCAAACCAAAAATATTTTTTTGCTTTGACCCAAACAAAACATACCTGATGATATACTTGGAATGTTCTTTTATTCAAAAATTGTTAAAGCTGTAAACGTGGGTGTAAATTTTGTGGGGCAAAGAACTCAGTGCTGTGGGACTTGAGGCAGTTAAGGGGAGTGTAAGCAATAAAGGCAAATTGAAGCTGCATAAATTGCAAGCTTCCTTATCTAAAAAATATTCTTGGGAATTAGGTTAAAAGTTATAACCATATTATAAGTAGGGTCAATTAGCCTATATTCTTTTTTTTTTAAGATTTTATTTATTCATTCATGAGAGAGAGAGGCAGAGACACAGTGGCAGAGGGAGAAGCAGGCCCCATGCAGGGAGCCCGTTATGGGACTGGATCCCGGGTCTCCAGGATCACGCCTTGGAGGCAGGCGCCAAACTGCTGAGCCACTGAGGGATCCCTAATTAGCCTATATTCTTATAAATTATTTCCTATATAGCAGTTCACTGGCATTAAGTATAAAATGTGAAGTGACATTTTGATACTGTTTAATTCTGCAGATCCTTCTGTTGGTCCTAATTCTGTTAGTCCTTCCTGAACACAGGGTCTTTTACTTTGACTTGGGGGATCTCTGCCCCCAAGATTTTCTCTCAGCTTTATTTCGGTAAGACAGCATCTCACATTCAGATGTTTCTAAACATTTTTAATAGTGTTGCTTTGACTTTGGTTGACCAGAAGGCTGGGAGTGAGTGACCTGAAGCCCCCCCTACGTTCATTCCAGATTGGGCAAGTGGTCTCCTCATCCCAGTGTCTAATTTAGACATTGCTTTCCAGGAAATTGTTTTAGTTCAGTGTGAAAAATACCTTCCATGATGATGTCATCTTTTTAGGAATGTACACCACTTAGTCTCCACTCACATCCATTGAATAATCAGTGGGGAAAAAAAATCAATGAAGGTATGATCCATGAATTTAAGTACCTCATGAATTGTCTTTGTGTATTTTTCTCTTGAGGCATGGGGTTCCACATTTTTGACCGGTTGTAAAGGTGTTTTAAATCTACACTGGCTTCTAAATTTGAGTTTGTTATTTGCCTCTGATCTTGGTGGTTAAAATTATACTTAAGTCGTTTTGTTTTGTTTTGTTTTTTTTAACAACTTTCAAATGATAATCCCAGTAAAAGTTCAAGATTGGGTTCAGTAGAGGAGTTATTAGTAATTTTTAGAAATCTTTTTTTTTTAATTTTTAGAAATCTTAAAGCCACTTTTCATAATGTTCTATCTTTTGCATTAATTATGTATTGAATGTATTAGTACTTCCTTCTTTTTCATCTCTGCATCACCCACCAGATATTTCTTGTGATTTTAGTCTTAACTAAGAAGATGTTTTATCAGGAATTCTGCTACCAAGGCAGTTACCACATGTCAGAGGAATTTCTCTTCCTACATTTTATTTATTTATTTTTATTTTAAAACTTATTTATTTATTTATGAGAGAGAGAGAGGCAGAGACACAGGAGGAGGGAGAAGCAGGCTCCATGCCGGGAACCCGACATGGGACTTGATCCTGGGACTCCAGGATCACGCCCTGGGCCAAAGGCAGGCGCTAAACCTCTGAGCCACCCAGGGATCCCCTCTTCCCACATTTTAATATGAAAAATTTCACACATAAAAGTTGAAAGAATTGTACAGTGAACACTTACCACTTAGAGTTTTGTTATCAATATTTTGCTCTATTTCCTTATCACATATCTTCCCATAATTAGGGCTTTTTTTTTTTTTTAAGATTTTATTAATTCATTCATGAGACACACAGGCAGAGGGAGAAGCAGGCTCCATGCAGGGAGTCCAATATGGGACTCGATCCCCTTACTCCAGGATCACGCTCTGAGCCCAAGGCAGACGCACCAACTGCTGAGCCACCCAGGTGCCCCAATAGGGCATATTTTAACAGGATTTGACTTTGAAGGAGAATGGGGATGATATGCAGTTAGATAAAAATTCTTGTTTGTGAACTCTGTATCTTGCTCAGATCCAAGTATCAAGTACTCCAGGATTAGGATTGGTGCTTCTAGAATTCTAAAAGGCAGGGAGGGGTCTGTAGAGTAATGGCTACTTCAGGATTGAACTCTCTTTGAGGTAGCATCTTCAACCTTCAGGGTTTGATTTTTTTTTTTTAAGATTTTATTTAGTTATTTGACAGCACAAATAGAACTACAGGGAGAGAGAGAAGCCGTTCCTCCCCTGAACAGAGAGCCCAGAGGACCCTGGGTGGGATCATGACCTGAGCCAAAGGCGGACGCTTAACTATTGAGCCACTCAGTCACCCTCAAC